GCGCTGGAAGGGGCTTCTCCCGCGTTACCGGGCGCTGTGCCGGGACCTGCGCTGGCGGCCTCGGGGGAGCAGCTGCGTGGCTGGGCTGCTCTTGGGGTCTTAGTTGCATCTAAAAGCAAAACAAAACACGGTGGGGTTTGTGAGGTTTTTTTCGAGTTTGGACTGTGGAAGGTCGGATATCAAGAGAAGGTGCATCCATACCTCTGTAGAACTGACCTGCAATGCCCAAAGTGGAGGCTCTAGGATGGCAATTGCTGTCTTAGCATGTTTAGTTTATCTTTCAGTTCTCTTACCTTCCATCTCCAGGTGCTCCCTTTCAGCGTTTGCGTAGTTAACTTGTCCTGCACACACCACCTTCTTTCCACCCCCACGCTTCAATTAAAGGAGTTGCCACCAATCACCACCTTCCAGGAGCAGAGTTGTCATGCTTCCTTATCAGCTTGTTTTTGCTTTTTTTGCAAAGGTCATATGTGGTATGGTAGTAAGGTAAAGTCGTCCCCAACCCTAACTGAGAATGTAACCTGACTCTTTTTGCTTCACACCTTATGCCTACCCTGGAGCTGGAATTGTGAGTGCAGCAAATGCAAAAACATCTGAACTTGAGTTAATGCAATTAGTTCAATATCAAGAAGAGCAAAGCCATGATTGTTTGAGCTTTGATGTGGGCAAGTTTCAGGTGAATGAACTGCAAATGGCCTGTACTTGCTACTCTGTGACCCCACTGACACCAGTTTCATGCTATCAAGGTGAGAACTGGGTCATTATCAAGGTGAGAAGTAGGCACTGAAAACATAGACCAAAAATTATACCTCTGCAGACACTTTGTGCGACCGAGTCAGTCAGAGAAATTTCAGCACTTAACTCCACTAGATTTCTAAGACATGTACAACATAATTAAGATTGGCACTGATTTCTCCACATACTTTGAAAATCACTGCTACCTCTAAAAGACAGCTTGCATATTACTATTAAAAGAATGTAAATAAAACAGCTTAGAAGCACTAAAAACTTGTTTATCTGCAAGAGACATACTATTTTGGTGCACGTGCTGTCACTAACTCCCTTTTCAGTATCGACATTTTCCTTCTAGTTTTAGAGTGGAAAGTAATTCTTCTGTTGGAGTAACCAGAAGTGTGTATTGTCATCATGGTATCATCAGACTTGGGTCAAAGTCATTAGGCTCCTAGGGTAAATAAAAGAATGCAAATACAAAGTCGTGAATACTCTTAAGTCTGCAGAGTGTTTCCAAAGGATTAATTATACTCCCATGTTCTTAGTATTATTTAGGTGAAAGAAAGTATTAGAAAAATCTGCTGCAGGAAATATTTCAGCAGCAGCAGACTGTAGAGTACAACTAAGTTTCAAATCACACAAGCAGTTAAGGTGCTTTAGCACTTTTTGAGCCCCCACTTATTTAAGGAGAATATTTTGTCTGAGACTCATTATACCTTTTGAGATCCCATTCTAAGTGATTTATTTTAGTGGATAGTTTCCATTTCCAGCCCACAGATTACTCTACTTAGTTGGTACATTTTTTGATACCAAATCGCACCAAAGCTCTTACTGTTCTTTGCACTAAAGAAACACTGAAACACGGGTCCCAATGTGCTAGGCAGTGTAAAAATACCAGGGTCAGCCTCAAAATGTTTACAGAAAATCACAGACTAGTCAATATTTAAAAAAAGAAAAAATACTTAATGCATGTGAATGGCTATAAATCAGGGAAAGGGTAAACAGCATTTCTGGGCGTTGTGAGCTATTAGCAAAAGTTGGTACTTTTTTTTTTGCATTAGCAAATTAGCATTTGCATCAGTTCTATTAAAAGAAGTCTCCATCCTAGATAACATAGTTTTTGCCCAGAAGTATTGTGTATTATCATGCCTCTGTATTGGTAAAAGCTGAAGGGCTGATACTGTGTGACTAAATGCAGTATCACATCATTAGCCCTCGGGGAAGTGTGACATGTTCTAACTATTAAAAGGAAACAGAACAGGTATTCCAGGTATGAGAAAGTACAAATGCTTAAGTAAGTGCAAAGGGGACTTTCAGCACCTTTGGTTTTCAGCTATGAACAATTTAAAGCTCATTTGGAAGGGCATGCCAAGAAACCAAGTCTTCCTGTTTTAACAGATGGGTTGTAAGTAAATCTTCAAAAGCGTTAGAAGTTTGTTGTGGCACTTACTCAGCTTGGTTATCACTGCTCTGCCACTGATTCAGAGCCAGGCAAACCTGTAAAATACTTCTTGTAAAAATTATTGGGACAAAATCCTGAAGTTTTGTTCAAAGTGTCTTGCCTGTGGCTGTTGTGTAGAAATTAAGCACTACATACAGCAGCCTCAAACTGGCAATCAATGTTCATTCACCTAGTGGGCAAAACTGGTCTAACAGTAAATCAGTGCTAGAAAAATTATATTTTTAAAAAACATTCAAAACCCCTGTCATACAAACTCATATTCACACAAGCAGAATTCCATATGCCACATTTATGGTTACTCTGAAAAAAAGCTTGAAGGGTTTGTGCTCTGTTCTGCACCACTTTCTCCAAAATATACTATGAATGAAAAAAGTATGGGAAGTAATAGTCCTTCCTGTGTTCCTTTAGAATGAGGTAGAGTTCAGGAGCTTCCCTTATACTTCTTATGCCTGTAGATGTGGGAAATAATTCTCTGCTTACACTTTCAGTTATGTTTTGAAGCTTCAGCAATTTTGCAGTTACTACAACTTTTAATTTATTTTTGTTTAAAACCTAGATGGGAACATCTACATTGAATTTTCATTCATCAGAAGCCAAGCAAGGAGGTTTAAGAGACAAGCAAGCCGAGCTGTTTGATTTGGCTGTACAGCTCCCTGTCCACCTTGAGGTCAGTAACTCTGTCATAAACTAGAAGACATTTTAATATAATATACTGTTTGTTTCTCTAGTTAACAAAAGTCTTGCATACTGTCAAGATGCAATTGTACACTCTCGAATACTATCTGATCAACAGCTCCTGCCTCCATTCCCATCACTCTCATTTATGGTACTTTTAGCTCATGCAAGCAAGAGTGCAAGTGTACTGAGGGTAGCAAGTGATGGATAATCTGTTATAGTCCATCACACTAAGAGACAGAAAAAATCACTCTTGAAGGTGTTAGAACAGAGATGAGACATAAATCTTTTCTCCTCTTTGCTTTACAGATTTACTTCTATGCATGGTGAAGTAACTAATTCATCTTTTATGGCACAGGAAAAGGGAACAAAGAATAAAATCAGGTTGCTATTGACATGTAGCAATGAGCAGGATGATGATTTGATGAAAAATATCAATGCCTCACAAGTAAATGGTGATGTCTTTGACAAATCGAGAATACTGTGCACTTCTACTTCAAATTCATCACAAATTAGTTTTGTTCTCACAAAATTAGTATTTGCCTCCTGCACATCTGTGCTTGATAGCAGTCCATTTCCAGCCCAGCCACCATCTATCTGCACGGGCATTACTACTAGCAGTGGAACATCTGTGCACCAAACCATGTTAATCAGTTTGGGATGAATCAGGAACAGCTGGAGAACGTGCCATTTCATTCTCCTAAAAGGCTGCCTCCTCCAATAGGGACTTAAACCTGTAAAAGGATAAGGAGAATAAAGCCAGGTCTATAACTACCATTACTGTTAACCCTTCTGTTACCACTGGATAAGAATTTACATGGTTTTAAGTTGCCCTTCATGAGATAGCAAGAAAATGAAGAGTAGAAAAGGTAGGGGAAAAGTGCAAGACTTTCCAGCACAGCTGTATTGATATTACTGAAACATGAGACATGTGACTGAGATGTTTCTATCACTGTTTACAAGCTTTTTAGGAAAGACAGCGCAACTAAAAAGAGATACTTGTATTAATATCTCAGAATTGAGAAATCATAAGTGCCCTTAAGTAATTGGTAAAAGAGTATCCATGGTACTTCTAATATGAATTGTAACTCATCACTAAATCATACCAGAGAAGGAAACAAGGTTTTTATTATTCACAGCTGCATAATGAAACTTTGGGATACCACAGCAAGCAATTTAAATTACATTTCCAAAACGAAGGAGATTAATTCTGTAACACAAAAGGAACTGCACCCAACACATGGTAACTTTCTACTGAAACTTGCCAGGGAAAAAAAAAAAAAAGAGGCCATTTGCTCAGGCATTGCTGTGGCTAGGAACAAGAAAAGCACTGAAACAAATATGAAAATGTACATTCCTCTATACTTTTTTAACAGGCTTGTCTGTTTAGATTGGTTTTTAGAAGAAATTCAAGGGTTGCTACATCTCACCGTGTCAGTTTCCTAGTAGTAAAATAAGGTCTACACAGAAATGACGGGCAGTTAAGTCTTTTTCATTAACAATTTCTAAAATCTTTATGTGAAAATAAATTGTAGCAATATTATATAGCTGTTACTGCTGCTAATAAAGTGACCCTTCCTCGTAGTGACAAGATGCTTTTGCACCTCCTCATGTTCTTGGATTAACCGGGTTCTACAGCTGCAGATACATTACAGTAACAGATAAGAGTTCTCCAAGAACAGGTGCCCTACAGGAAGGCTGTCAGGTAGGATGTGTTCGTATAAACAGAAGTGTCTCATCTCAGTCCTTGGTGACTCATCTCTGTCCTTGGTGCATTCTTTATAGGTGAAGCTATACACAACAATCAAGTAGTGCAGGGAAACCAATGCTCTGCCACCCAGTCACTTTTTCTCAGCAGCATGCCAGCTCTTAGCTTTGTTTTTCCTTTTAATCCCATTATCATCACATTGGAGCATAGAAATAGCTCAGAGAGTTTATAAGCAGTTGCTTATTATAATGCATTTTTAGAGCAACTCGAACACTGGAAGAGGGGTCTTACCATAGGAAGCTAAAATGTATCAGTTAAGTCTTGTTCGTCCCAAACTCTGGAGCCATCTTGCTACTAGTTTCGCAGATCATAAAAGAAAATTACATGAGATGCTCTATGTGAGAGGTAGATGCCAAATTCATTGGGGATAACACATAAATACCCCAGTGCTGGCAGGAAAATAATGTGTTACTGTCAAGGAATGTTGGGAAAACTGGCTCTTCAGGAGCTGAAGTACCTTTCCATGTATTTTCACTGTGGACAGCACCCTCACTCCCATGAACTTGACAAGCATTTACATCCTGCCCTGCCACCAAGAGATGCAATTGCTGCCTAGGCCTACACAGTGGTTTTTGCATGAGAGAAGCACTGTTTACACTGGGTACTAATTATTTCACAGAATCACAGAAAGACCTATAAGAAATTTAATATTAATTTAGATAC